TCTAAATTTAGTATTAAAACTAAAATCTTTTGTTTTGACGAAATCTATCCAGTCCCTACTGGCAAACGATGGATGCATGGTATAAAGGTATATTAATCAATTTTTCTTTTGTAAATGCTACGCATCCAAAGTCAATGCTAAATCTAGTTCACGTAAATGAGACGTCTCCTGGTCGAATCCTTAGTCAATGGTACGTTTGGTTTACATAAATAATGGAATGTCTATTTGCAAAACCTAAAGGTAATGCTACATTACACGTAAAGGGGAAGTATACTTACTGTATCCAAAGTCAATGCTCCTTTTGGCTAACTAAAATGAGATGTCTCTTTGCAGTATCCAATGTCAATGGTGCATTTATATCACGTAAACGGGATGTCTAGTCTACTTGTCACGTAAATCAGGAATATTTGCCTTACGCAGAATGTCATATTTATACACTGATGTAAGTGTCTTGAAGATGATATATCATGCGCATATTCATTCCCATATTTCATTTGGCTTGGCTTTATATGGGTCAACAAAAAAAGAAAACTTGAATGAAATTTTGATGAAACAAAAGGAAGTTGTCAGAATAATTCTCAATTTGAATCCTGAAGAATCAGCAAAAGAGTATTTCAAAAATTTAAAAATATTAACTGTATATGGACAATATATTTACGACACGGTCTTAATAGACGACACGGTTCTTTTAATTCATAACCCATTAAAACAGAACATTGTGCAGTCTCAAAGATATAACACGCGAAAAAAAACCGTCATACCCACTCACCACAGATTAGCATTTTATGAAAAAAAACCTTCATATATGGAGCAAAATACTTACATAGACTTCCTATTGCGTTAAAAACAGAAAATAACATCAATAAATTTAAGAAGATGTTGTAAAATTACCTTTTTCAGAAGCCACTGTACTCGTTTGAGGATTTTTTTAACTTTTAGTCATAGTCGTAGTATTAAGTTTTGATTTGACACTATTCTCATGTACTATGTGTGCATATTGTGAACAAAGATGATTTGACTTTGACTTTGACTTTGTAGTATCTAAAGTCAATGGTCTTTCTGTTCTTCCAATGCAAATGGCACATTTGGTTCAAGTAAATGGAATGTCTACTTGAAGTATCCAAGTCAATGGTACATTTGGTTCACGTAAATCGGATGTCTACTTACAGTATCTAAACTCAATGGTTGATCTGGTTCTCATAAATTACATGTCTTCTTGCAGTATCTAAAGTCAATGACACATTTGGTTCACGTAAATGAAATGTCTACTTACAGTATCTAAACTCAATGGTTGATCTGGTTCTCATAAATTACATGTCTACTTGCAGTCTCTAAAGTCAATGACACATTTGGTTAACGTAAATGAAATGTCTACTTGCAGTATCTAAAGTCAATGGTTGATCTGGTTCTCATAAATTACATGTCTACTTGCAGTATCTAAAGTCAATAACACGTCTGGTTCAAGTTAATGGAATGTCTACTTGCAGTACCTATCCAAAGTTAATGATATACATTTGGTTCACGTAAATCGGATGTCTACTTGCAGTATCAAAGTCAACAGTTCATCTGGTTTACATATTAAATGTCTACTTGAAGTATCCAAAGTCAATGTCTCTGTTTATTGTAAATGGTATATCTATACTTCCAGTATCTAAAGTCAATAATGCATCTGGTTCACGTTTCTAATTGCTGTATCCAAAGTTAATGATATATTTGGTTCACATAATTTGGAATCCATATGTGCAGTATTCAAAGTAAATTGTACGTCTGGTTCACGTAAATGAAAAATGTCTACTTGTAACATCAAAAGCCAATGGTTCATTATCTTTATTGGTTATACCATAGTTAAAACATACTCTGTCTATGGTTATACCATAGATAAAACATACTCCGTTATACATTTTGTAGCAAATACTGCTCAACAGTATCAATTCGATTGTTCTTCCCTTTTGTTCTCTATTTTGCAATGTGCTAGTTTAGATGATTTATTGGTAAACACATGTTACAACTTTTGTTTACCTTTTTATTGTTATCTTGCAAATACTGTCATGGCAACCAATTAGCCCATCAGGCCCATGTTAAATTTCTAAAAGTTTAAATTCGCATAGGGGAAAGCCCTGTGGTCCGATTTGTACCATTTCAGATTTATACCTTCCCATGGTTGATTACTATGACTGTGCTAAATTTCATGCAGATCGCTGCAGCCGTTTTGGAGGAGTATTTGTAAAACAAAAGCAGGAGTGTAGTATAAGAAATCGCCGTTACTGAGAGGGTGACTGATGGGATAGTGACCTTCCTAGAATAGAATTCTTATTGTTGAGATATTATATTTCACGAAGAGAAAAACATCTTAAAGATCTTTGACCCAACAATCCATAAACTTACCACACCAGGGATGTTTCAAATTATTCATACAAAATAGATATTCACTTTACATTTTTTAATAATAAATTTTAAATGGACACAGCAAAGTTATTTATAAACAGTAAATTTATAACGTCTTCTTTACATCTAGTCCAGTTTCTTGGTGTCCCCTCCCTGTCCAGACAGCTCAGACACTAGTTCCTTCTTGCTTTCTTCTTCATCCTTTGTTTGAAGTTCTTCAGTTACTTCCTGCATCTTAGCAAAACAATCTTCACAAATATCATGCGATGTATCATTTGCGTTGTATGCAACGATATAAAGGAAGTATGTAGCTATGGCTAGTAAAAATGCTATCACAGCCAACAATCCGTCGGAGAAACTTACGGCCAGATCCATATTGAAAATTGTAAATTAATTTTATTTATGAGAGGGAAGGTTGAACGACAACAACTCTTTTATTTACTTTTTTTAATACAACACATGTTAACTATGGAGAAAAATTTAATTTGATTGAGAACATATGTTTATACATTTAGGTAGTCAATTAAACCAAGGATTATTAAATACTAGGTGAAGCCCGTCGAAATCGACGGTTGGTTATTTTCAAGGCTTACGTCATCTAACTGCCATAAATAGAATAAAATTATCAAAACACACATTTGCTTTGTTTAGTGAGTAAGTAAGTGTAAAAATAATAATGACTACTGAGCTATTCAATGAATAAAATATTTCCAGTACCTCATCGCAGTTATTATTACTATGTTAATTGGTCCCATCTCTTTTTGAAGAACATTTAGACAGTATTAAAATCGTATCGACGGATCTTTTGTGATAAACACATCCGAGATTTCATCAGTGCAAGTCAAATATGAATTTGAACGGATGGTGTTTTTGGCCTCTTGGGACCTCAAAACGAAATAGCAAATCGGTCCCGGGTCCAGGTCTTATGAGTACTACGGTAATGGCCTATTCCCTATATGGGCATTCGCTAAAACCACGACTTTCTGCACTATTCCTATTACACAATTATATTTGTAGAGGCAGCATAAACAAGGTTTGCACGAGCAGGGATTTGACTTAAACGGTTTACCACTGTTATTGGTTGGATACAGCTGTGACGTCACTGCTTTGATAGTATTTCCGGTGCTCCACGCTGGTTCCGCCTGTTCAGGAAATTACCGTTTATATCCTTATCCTCACTTCAAACCTGTTTTATGTGATTTTCTGTTTATATCTTCGGCAAATAATACAATATGATACAATTAATCAACGTCAAGCCTATAAGACGTGGTTTAGTTAATTTTCATCGAAAAACATGTCAAATAAAAGATAAATTGAATAAATTGACACATGTCAGATTTTTTTTTTGTTTCGTGTTATACTGGACAAAAATTGTCTACGAAAAAGATGGCTGGTCGCAACTCGGGCGTCAGTTTTAGGTTAATTTGGGCTGTCTCATCCCCATAAAAAATACTTATTTCCTTTGTGCCTTGGGCCACTTGGATTATTTGTTACTTTAAATAATCGCATTGTTTTGGTTGCAACTCAAGTCCCAACAAATATTGGTCATGCATTAATAGCGCCAAAAGTTCCTTAATTGCGCCAAACCCTAAATGGGTCCTAAGAAATGTTTCTTAGTTGCACCAAGGGTAGGGTTGTGTTGCCGGTAGAAGTAATGCCCTTACTATACGTGTCATCCTAACCTAACCGAACCTATCCTATCCTAACCTACTCAATTACAGTCAACCTATCCTAACCTACTCAATTACAGTCAAAGAGGGCCGCCACTTGGCTTGGTTAAGGAACGTGACAGGTGGCTCCCTGGAATAGTTTGCGCGATTCGGGAATACCCGACTACCTGACTCAGATCTGTTGGAGCAATTAATGCCTGCCCCAAATATTCTAGGAGTGTTACCCTGGTCTACTGTATTCATGAAGTCCTTACTCGTTCGCCGGAATCTTTAGATTCCAAAGCAATTCTCAAGCATTATTTGTGTTGACTATAATGTGTATCAACAAATTACATTTCTGATTTTGATACTCATTTTACAAAGGCATATAATATTTCAGTACATGAAATGTATAATACTAATACTTTGGTACATTGCCGGATTAATTAAAACCATAGACCGCTCCAATATTACCGGGGGCTCACCACAGAATTGATTAATCTCTGAAGATCCACTTCATTACCTTCAGCTTTCCGTAGTCTTGTCCACAACTTAGATACACCTCCAGGATGAGATTTTTAATCACCCCCTCTGCAGTGAACCAGCGGACGAAACTAATTTCCATGGTTTGATTTTCACTAAAATATTCCCTTAAAATTGTCAAATTTATTTCCATTTAAATAACATGATTTAAAGATGACTTATAGAACAACACTGAAAGGATGCAGTACATTAATTATAAACTATTAAACTACAATTTATTTAATTATAATTATATTAAAACTACTATCCAACTATTAGCTTGTCCAACATTAACACATTATAATCGGCCATCTTAGGTGATCGATTGCTTTAAAGTTAGACCTAAAGAGAACAACAATTCACGCTTAAAAAAGGAAATTGGGATCAGAAAGGTAATAATTTGGAGATTAAAGTTTACTCAGTGAATTTTAATCAAACATTGTAGATCGTATTTTAGTAAGTAATAGGCTGGTGCATAAAATAATGTCAATAAAATTCTAATATTCCTAGATTCGACTAATAAATACCCCTTAACGTGTGTAAAATATTATCTTAACATGAAAATACTAAACATACATCAAAATTAAATTTTCCTTCGCATCTCTTACACAAAAGAAGCCCATGTGCTTCAAGTAACATCAACGTTTGAAAGCTTCTTAAGCTTTCGTAGACTCAATAATCCAATAGAGCGGCGCCAAATGTTAAAGTGCCTTTCTTGCCAGAAGCTGACTTGGAGCATCTTCTTCTTTGCTCTAACACAATCCTGAGACATAAAAATTGGTTAGATTTTACGTTATTTTACTTGTATACAACCCATAATTTTGGATAGTAAGTGTAATATGATTTTATTGATTTTTTAGATGGTTTCTACCGGTGTATCTATCTGTTTCAGGGTGCAAAAGTACTTTACCGTTTCAGGAGACATTTACCCATGGAAATCACTAACCCGGCCAACGCATATCTACGCATCGGGCTACCCATAAACTAAAAAGGCAAAGATTTTGGGGGACGAGGTAACCGACGTTGTTGAGTTTATTTACTTTTTTGCATGTCTATGAAGTATTTTATTTTGCAAAATACCTCTGTTCAAGCCAAATATAATGTTATAAATAAAGTGAGATAGTTTTAAGTTATTTTTCTTTCTATACTTGTAGGTTGTGTGGGTACGCGTTTTACAATAGATTCAAAAACCTCCTTTTCAGTGTCCTAACCTCGTTGCAAACGATGACCTAGTAATACTATAAAATATGGGTGTTATCTGTCGGTGTGTCTTTTTGGTGTAAGTCCAGGCTGAAATTGTATAGAAATAAAATCGGATAATGTATAGGCTTATTAATTTTCTTAGATTCCTCTCGGGCTATTATCCGTGGATGTACAAATATTTTTTAAAGGGAGATTTTGGAAATAAAAATTCATTAATTTATCTGGCAAAGAAATAACCCAAGAAGTATCATTATGCTATATTCACTACTTTGATTGCAATTTCAAAAATACATTAATTTTATTCTGCCTTGCAGCTGAAAAAAATTCACAGGTTATGCAGATAGTCCTAACTAATTTTTGTATATTTAGTAACTAATTCAAATCTTTATACGGTAAGTGGTTTTAACACCTTAATCCCTGTTGCCATCTCTGAGTTACTCTGGATAAATTAATAACGAGCAATTTTCAAAAACTGTATTGCCTGATTTGTTTCCAAATTTGCTATGGTTTTTAAACCGATATAATTTTTATGAGAAGCTTTCAGGGAGCTAACGAGATATTAACGAGAATCGCCACAAATTGCCAAAGGATAATGGAAAATATTACGCTTTGTGGGATCATCGTGTGTTATTAATGAATTATCAATTATAAGGCCTCAAAATGTTTAGCCTGCTTCAATCGAACATCTATTTGGAAAATGTGCCGATCCTTATACATATTTTAAATCAGCAAATGGAAATAGAAAATTAATTTGACTAGTGATGGAATTCAATTACAGTATCTTTAAAAGCACATTTGTCGATGGTGTGATACTTATCAATCTGTTTGATATGATTAATATGCAGGAAAGAAAAGTATTTAAAAAGGTTTTCTCATGAGGCTCTTCTTTGGTTATGAAAACTAACTTAATGACTTTTAATGTGTTGTAAAGCCCCATTGAAAGATACAAAATGTACAAAAATTAGTTAGGACTAGCATACCTGTGGTTTTAGCAGAATAATATTAATATATTTTTGAAAATAAAATCAAAATAGTGAATACAATATAGCAAAATTTTAACTTGCGGGTTTATTTTTGTTTACCAGATTAATTTAATGCATTTTTAATTCCAAAAGCTCCACCTTAAAAAAATTAAAATCCATATTTTTAGCCCCTGAGCTGATCTTGTGACTAAATCAATAAATAGGGTTACCTTCGTCAATCAGCTCATAGAAGTTGTAACATTGTTACGGCCGTTTCAGCATATCCATGACTATATGGTATTGTTACAAGTCAGGAGCCCCGCGCAACAATAGCCAGGCGCTGTCTCAAAAGGGTTGTTTGTTTACACGGGTTTCTCAGAACGCACCACTGATAGACAATAGACCTATGTCAACGGACTATCTCAATAGAGGCTCCAGAACCTTCTACACTTCTACGCCGGTTTGTAAACAACGGATACTCGAACTCTCCACTCTGGAATGTTCTACGGCAAGGTTATATAAGGGACCGTCTTCCGGCACCGTGTAGTAGCAGTTGCGCCGAGTAGCATTTGCGCCGCGGATTAAATCGTGCTTCCAGCGCCGCGGAGTTAGATTAGTTCAATGATGCAGAAGTGACGAGGGTCATAATTACTTACACATTACTTGACCGAGTTGATTGTAAATAGTGTCGTTTTCCATACTCCTAATTAACTTGTACTAGTATTGCACTTTTGCACATAAAAAATGATTAAACACTTGTATACCACCACATGCAGTATTGAGTTAGTATAGATATTTTCCTGAACTATAATTATTATAACCAGTAGACATTTCTACTTATCACATTACTAATTTAGGAGAAAGGGGGACTTTTGTTTTCCTATGAAGTTTTTAGAAAATAGTTGCACCAGGATAGTCTGCGGTGCTATGAGGAATGCAAACAGCTCGACATATTGGTATTAGGGGGATTTGCTAGGGGTATATATATCCCCATACCTTTCGTAGTAACCCACTCCCTTATGTTACCTTTGGTCACTCAATGGTGTTGTCATTGTCAGTTTCGAGTAGAATTTAGCAGAATGAACATCGTAGAATCCACAAAGAAGGGCTCGGTTTTCAATCATTTCGTCTACTACAATTGACCTACTGTACATTATATCATCGATATGTCGTACAATTGATAAGAATGCAACAATAAGCTACAATAAAACTTTTCTGAAACCTCTAACCGAATAAATAAATCGATAAATACGAGTAATTTCGAACCATGCAATTGCTTACAATCGACATTTACAACTGTTCACAACAGTTGACTTGTACTCCCTAGGAACTAAAAAGGCTTTTCACTACTGGTGATTAAAAACGTTATATAGTTTAGACCCATATGGTTTCGTCTTTTGTTTGCTATCTAAAGGTTATACATCGAAGTGAAGGATCACGGGTTCATACATAAAACCCCATTATACAAAGGTTTGTCATAATTACAGGTTCTAAAAAAGTTAACCATGTAAATAAATCAATAACTTGAGGGTGTGGCAAGCCCAAAATGACACTTTTATCTACCATTCGTCCCTCTGCTATATCATAAGATGTACAAGGACACCTACATCGAAAACATTGGTTAATCAAAACGGGTGAAAAGTTATTTCACAAAAAACCTTATGGTATCAGGTACACAGTTTCATTGTGTGTTAACACTTAGCTAAACTAAACAGACAATACCCCCGCCGCAGCAAACCTGCCGACTAAGCGAATTTCCATTTGTCTGAATTGATTTTCAATTGAATGTATATAAATAAAATTAGGTTTAACGAGTACCTAGGTTAGCTGCTACAAGGAAACGATTAAACTGGAGTTTTAGTAAAATGTGGATAGCTTAGTACTAGGTGGCGTTCGCAGAGGCATCCACAAAATTGAGCGGAGTCATCAAGGGTTCATAGTGTTTTTTTTTGCTGTGAAAACTCTTTCAAAAACAGTCGTCATACGAAAACTCGTCATACGCATTTTTACTCTTTAGGGAGAAATAGTTATTTGTGCAACTAGTGAGAAAAGTGAGCAATTGACTCGCTCGAGAGAAATCCTTACTCACGAGCCGTAGGCGAGTGAGGAATGGTTTCTCGAGTGAGGCAATTGTACTTTGAACTCGAGTTGCACATTATACTTTTCCTACAGTTACCATAAAATAAATAAATTGGTCTTATGTTTGTTCAAACATAACCTATTTTTACCCATAAGTGAACTTTTAATATAACATTTAATGTGAAGTGACAAATACAACAGTACAACAGCTGACCAGCTGATTAACAGCCAGTGCTGCCAACGTACTTCGCGCGCATACGACGTTGCCTGCATGTTACGTGCTCACTATTTCGTGCCTTCACGTTGCAAATCTGGAGTGAGACAAAGTAATTAGAGTGAGACAATGTTAACATTGTCTCACTGATGAGCGAATTGGCCACTTTGCTTTCTCAAATCAGTGAGAGAACATGTACATTGTTAGGTAACTGTAGGAAAAAATAGTTTTTAGCCTCTATGGAGTAAACATCAGCTGTTTACTGTTTACTGTCAACTTAGTTGGAAATAAAGATTGTAAACAATTGAATGTATCGAAAATATGTATCGATTCGTGCTTCGTAATCATTTTAACATACAGTCTACAGTCTCTTCCCATAGCATTTTAGCATTGCAGATACATTAATCCATTTCCACACTTAATACTGCTCACCTTTACTACTTCCTTCACCACCCCTACGTCTTGGACCTGTTTCCCCCTCTCTTCCCATAGCATTTAAGGAATGCAGATACGTTAATGTATTTGCTAAAGGCAGTTCCCTCACTCTGCACTGCTAGCCTTACTACTTCCTTCACCATTTCCTACGTCATAGACCTGTTTCCTTCCCTTCTCATAGCATTTTGGGATTGAAGATACATTAATATAACTGCCACAGACGGTTCCACACTATGCTTATACTTTACTACTTCCTATACCACTTCCTACGTCGTGGACCTATTTTCATCACTTTCCATAGCATTTTAGTATTTTAGATACATTAATCTAATTGTCACAAACATTCCCCAAACTCCACACTGCTAGCCTTTACTACTTCTATCACCATTTCCTATGTCGGGGGCATGCTTCCATCCCCTCTCACAGCATTTCAGCATTGCAGATACATTAGTCTAACTACTACAAACGGTTTCCAGTTCCCACACTCCACACTGCTCACCTTACTACTTCCTTCACCTCTTCCTCCGTGGCGGACCTGTTTCCTTCTCTTCCCATCGCATTTTAAGATTGTAGATACCTTAATCTAATCGTCATACACAGTTCCCACACTCCGGACAGCTCGCCTTTACTACTTCCTTCACCACTTCCTACATCACGGTCCTGTTTCCCTCCCTTCCCATAGCATTTTAGGATGGCAGATACCTTAATCTATCGTCATACACAGATCCCACAGTCCGGACTGCTTGCCTTTACTATTTCCTTCACCACTTTCCTACGTCACGGACCTGTTTCCCTCCGTTTCCATAGCATTTTAGATTTGCAGATACCTTAATTTAATCGTCATAAGCAGTTCCCACACTCCGGACTGCT